GGCTGCTGGCTACACACGGTAGCCCATGGCAACCCACTGCCACAGGGGCTGCAGCCTACACCGTTGCCGGTGACTCTGGGCAGCCCAGCTCCAGGTTGAGCTGTTGTTCAGCATCTTAGCTGTAGGGGGCAGTGTCACTGGCCCTCATATGTGGGATCTGAACCGGGGCCCTCTGGCGTCCCAAGCCAGCTCTTAACCAACGCGCCACTCGGCCGGCCCCCAAAAAATTTCTCATTTTGTGATTAGTTCTCAATAAGGCTACATGTATAAATAGTAGCTTCCTTGAAAGAGAATTGGCAGGCAACACAGTCTTCCATTAGACAGCCTTCCAGATAGCACCAAGAGAACTTGAGAGGGCCTTTTAAGCTCAGAGAAAGGGCATAAATCTGTCAACAGACATTTGTATTTATGTACATCATGAGGAGGCAGGAAATACGGAGGCAGGAAATAAGGAGGCAGGAAATAAAGATGTCTTTGATTCCACAGCACCCACCCAAGCTCTGAGCAAAGTCAAACAGAAAGGCTACTACTTTGTGAATATCATTCTCTGACCTCTAACCTTCACTTGAGTAAAAAACTGAACCAAAACTGCTTAGTAGCTCTCTAGAGTAATCCAAGGAACACAGCGGGTTTCCTAACAGTAGAATAATATTAGATTCCTACCAAGCTTGCCCAATTCATTAACAAGTGCTGCCAGGCTGCCCAGAAATTCCCCTTCCCAATCCCAACTTGGCCATTCCGGAAAAATGAGAAATCAAGTATGCTGCAATTATGGGCTTTTTGGTATTAGGTCCAAAATAAACTGTGCCTACACCCCAAGGCTGTAAATGCAATTATTATCCAATGAAAATGTAAACAGCCAAAGAAGTTATCAGGTTTCATTTATTCAACACAGCTATCACAAACAGACCTAATATAGTGATAGTTTCCAACCTTATTTAATGATAAACACCCAGCAGAAAACCTCTAGTCACACCTAATTTATACTGTACACTCAGATCAACATTAATGAGGTAGATGGTAAACAATGAACCTAAGGGTTCAATGGCAATAAGCTCACAGGATTCTGAGCATAGGGTAAGTAATAAGGTCAGAATTGTTTAGTTTGTCATTTTTAAGGGGAAGTAATAACAAAACTCCCACATGCCAGGCATAGTTCTAAGCACTTTGTGTGTATTAACTCACTTAATCCTCACCAACAACCCTATAAAATTGACACTGTTGTCAATCCCCATTTTAAGTATGTGGAAACCAACGGAGAGGCTAAGCAACTGCTCAAATGCTTACACAGCCAAACGGGTCAGGCTTCAGATTCCACAGGAGTCAAGGTAAACAGTGTCCCCTGGTTTCACCAACACTCGCTAAAATTATGGCCAGCATAAGTTTCTGGAAGCCTATCTCCCCTTGCCTCTCCTTGCATATAATGTTTGCTTTTGCTTTCCTCTTTAAAGAGATGTCACGTTCCTTTAACTTCATAACACTCCTTTGAAAGCAGTGGACAACGTGAGAATATCTTCATTTTACACACAGGAAACTCAAGCCCAGGCTTCTCAACTTCTGCCCTAATGGTGCTCTTTGAAACAGTCTGATAATAGTATGAAGTAGGGAACTGGGGAAAACCAAATGGTGGAAAGGAATCCAAAGGCGGAATAACAAACGTAAGCGACAGCTTTAAGAGTAGGTACCGGTACCTATGAAACCGAACAGTTGGAGAGCCTTACATACCATATGCAATAGCGGTATCTACAAAAGTGCCTGGAGCCTGGAAGCTGCACAAACAGGCCTAAAACCAATCTACACATGAGTACACAGCGGCCGGCCCAGGCCCTTCACACAAAGGCGCTTCATGTTGGTCGGCTGCACAAAAATGAACTTTTTGTAGATGTGGGGAGCCCAGGAAGCGGAATGGGCTCTGCAGATAAGAAGGCGGCCTCAAGGACCTTGCCCCGTGCCCGTTGGCCTGTTCCGCGGCACAAGCGGGTCAGTGCACCTTCGATCACGAGTGGCGGCGCGGCGCCAGGTCCAGCCAGGAATTCAGCCATTTCTCTTAGGCCTGGCAGGGAAGCGGAGAGGCCCCGCGAACTCTGGTGTTCGCTCCCTGCCCTGTCGCTCCCCACTCCCGGCGCCCTCTTCTTCGAATAATGTGGCCCCATCTGGACACCGCGCCCCGCGCCCCACGCCCTCCCTGCCCGCACCGCCTTCGCAGTCCCGCACGGCGCCCCGCGTGCCCCAGACTGGCCCAGTCGCCTTATCCCAGGCCGGCCCCGAGCCGCCTTGCGCCACCCCCGCCCGCGGAACGATTCGTAGCGCCCCCGTGACCCCTGACCTCGCCTACCTTTCGCCTTACTAGCGCCGCAATCACCTGACAAGCGGCCCCCGCGCCTCTGTCTCCATATCCCGGGACCCAGCGCCAATACGCCCAACCCCTACACGCCCCGCCATTGGCCGACAAGACCGCAGCTGCAAATTCCTATTGGCTGGATTCTTCACATTCCCGGTAGCGGCCCGCGCGCGTGGCAACCCGACTGAAAGTCCCGAGGCTCCGCCCACCCCGAGGTCAGGCTGGGGGCGGGGCCACGGCAGCCTGGGCGGGCTTGCATCCTACGGAGCAGGTGCTTGCACTGGTCCAACAGCGTGTGGGTTTGGAGGCTCCTACACCTCAGGGCTTCCTCCCAGCACACAGGTAAGTTTCCTGCCATTGTTCGTCGCGGCCCCACGTTAGACAATCAAGCCCCTTTCTTTTGGAAACGTGCCTCTGCGAGGTACAGCTCCACCCGATAAAGTAGAGCCACCTAACAGGACCGTTTCCTTTCGCCCCTAGAGCCACATCATAGTATCTGTGCCCCACCAAAAGCTCCCCACACCTGGGAGGAACTGCGAAACATCAGCTAATGCAGCTAGTTCGACCGCATCAGATGCTGTACTTCCAAGCCTTGGTAATGAATTGCTTTCCTCCATCCTACCCAGGTGCCTCGGTTCTTCTCCTAAGCTTTGTTTCCACCTACCCAAAAGCAATCCCACTCCATCCCCTGCCTCAACCTCACACCCTAGAGTCTTTCTCTGAAGATGACGGCTAGACTAGTGATTCTGTAGAGAGGAGAAAACAAATGATCTGACAAACCACCATAATATTCTACAATGTCATTTAGAGCTGCTAAAAACATACTTAGACGCCTATCCTCCACTTACATTAAAAATAACCAAGCTTATTTAACTAAGTTGTAGGCCTAGAGAGGAAAAGCATAAACCCCTCCAACTTATTTCTTCGTGTAAAAACTACTAGAAGAAAATTTTACTAGTTGGTAAAAGAGTCCAGGCGAGAGAAAAGGAGAGTGAATTGCAAAAAGAAAAATCCAAATAAAGTACAAAGTAAAAACAAACTCAAGGACCAAAAAAAGGGCCGAGCATCGTCAGTTATCCTGGTACAGGCTGGTTTGCATACAGAATTTCTAATGGAGAGGAAAAAAAATGCACAAATTAGTTCTCGGAATCTTGCTATAACATATCTGGGGAGTTCCAGAAAGTCCCTCCAGAAGTGAACCTTTCCTTTGGGAACCTCTGCTGCAATTAGAAAATAAAATGGCTGGAGCCATTCTGGTCCCCCTTCGAGGTCTGCTCAGCTGGGCAACTTCCCTGGGCTATTGCATACTTGCTGGTTACTTACTTAGCTCACACTGTGGTGCTGCCTCCGTCTTATGCTGCTTCTTCATTGTGCAGAATGAGTTTGACTTCTCCCAGTGCTGACTCCTGCCTCTATGTAGGCAGACAAGTGCGCCTCCCTTGGTTAAATAAGGGCACTTGAGGTTGCTCTGGGCGACAGAACACTGATAAAGATACGGCAGGGAATTTCAAGAAGCAAACCACACCCTTTAAAGAATAATCAAATTTCATCTTTGACCTGCCATGAAAGGGAAGCATCATATACCTGCCACTCTTGGATATTAATGAACAATTAATTGAGTCCGAAAACTTGTAGTCTAAGAGTTCATCTCTCATTTGGCAGGAGCTGGAGACGGGCCTGTGAGCACCAGTATATGAAGGAGGTGGAACAAAAGGAATTGCTTTCCTTCAGGACGTCACACCTCTTGTAGTGAAGCTGGTTCGGGCACTTGTACTAGGGCTGCAATTAGGACTCTGCTCTCCTAAGACGTAAACTGAAACCAATTAACCCCAAGCCAGACAGTCCACAAGTATTTTCCACATAGGTACGTGAGCACCGATGCAATTATGAGGAGTCTCAGAGTATAGGTGAAAATGCCGCCTGGCTTATCCCTTGGGATCTTAAGGACCTGCTGCCATTAGCCTGGTCAATCAGTGATTCAAAGCCTCACAAACCAGGACTCAGAACCCGATGGTGGAAAAAAAAAAAATCTTGGGCAAGCCCAGAATTTCTCAATCAGGGAGCAGAGGAACTGAAAGAATAAGGAAAATTTGCCCCGGCAAATAAATAGCTTAATAGGGCAGCTGAAGGCAAAGCTGGGGAGGAGAGGCACTGAGTGGGTGAGGAGAATGGGGTGGGGTACTACAGGGAAGCAGTTGCTGCCTTCAGAAAGTTTTCTGGTGGCTTTAAAGAAAATCTGTTCAGTACCATAAGAACATAAGCAATAAATGTGATAGAAATAAATACCTTAGAACAGAAAAGCAAAGCAATAATTAATCTGTATTAGTTGTCGACAAAAAACATCCAGCCCAAGAGAAAACTTATAATAGTTTATTTGAGCCTAACTGACAACAATTGCTGGAAAGCAAAATCTCAACGGCTAGAGAAAATGCTCCACGAAATGGCGGTTTGCAGCTTATTTTATACATAAAATCAAAGGAGGAAGGTTACGTGAAATCCACTGGTGATAGATTAAGGGGGTGGGAGAAAGCAAAGCCGGGGGGGGGGGGGGGGGGGGTCCTCTGGGATTGGATAAAAGTAGATTGGAGAGCCAGGTACTTCTTTTACATAGGTGGGTACAGGATCCTTAACAGTTCACTTTTTACAGCACATAGAGATGGTAATCAGGAGACAAGCATAATAATTTTGCAATTTCCAGCTCAGGTCCAGGAAAAGGATTACTGACATTCCAAAGATGTTATCTTAGGTGCAGAAAGACAACAGGCAGGCCCACTGAAAAGGCACAGACTAACTTTATGAAGGAAGCTAAAGATGCGACTTCCTGCCATGGCCCACTTAGTTATGAAATTTTTTTATGCTCATGCCATCTTGTGTGGTTATTTTCAGTCTCCTGAGCTTGTCAGGTTTCATATGTGGCCCCTTTTCCATCCACACAGTCAAGGTAGGCTTCCAGCAAGTGGCTAAAACAGCCATAGAGTCCATAGAAGGAACTAAGGATCTTCTGCCCAGCCACCCAAATTAAGATCTCTTTACTCCAGGGCTGCCTTCAAGCTCTACAAATGCTATTACAATTTGACCTGTCTCTCTGTCCCTCTTCAGACAAGATCCCTAAGGCAAAACAGAGTTGGCCGTGAATTGGACCACCTTCACCTGTAAGAAATACATATAAAATCTTCCAACTAAAGTGTTGGAGGAAAAAGCCCTATTTTAGTTTAGGAGTTCTAAAAATTGGAATGGATTTTGCAATGAGACTCTATCATAGCCCCACTGTTTCCTTTACTCAGCAGTTTCTCCCAACATTCATACTCTACTCTTGCCTTCTAAGCCTGCAATTCTCATGTAGTAACAGACAACATGAACTGAATTCTTATGTATTGAAGAGGAGCAGAGTTTGCCCCAAGATATGCCTCTTTGAGATATCGATAATTTTAGGCTGATTAATTTAAATTTTTTTTTATAGCTGAGTCATCCTGCCACCTGTTGGCAGCTCAGCGGCAGCTCAGCTCGGGCTGGGAATCAAACTGGCGACCCTGTTGCTCAGGGCTTGCACTCTTGAGCAAGCCCTTAACCAACTGAGTCACTTGGCCAGCAAATTTAATTTTTTTAATGTTAGAGTTCATTAAACATTCAAATATGAACACTAAGCGTTAATGGTGGTAGGTTTTCAGGTTATGTTTATCTTTGTTACAATGTTATATATAGTTCAAATTATTTATAAAGTAATATATAATCAGAATGAAAAACATGACAATGGCATTTGACCTTTATACATCCAAAGGTACTCTGTTCTAGTTATGTAGTAGGTGGCAAATAAAAATTGTTGACTTATTCACAACCTTGCCTGAAAAGCAAAATAAACTTGATCTATTTGCTCCTGTGTGATGAATAACCACAAATAAAATATGCTATTTTTAGTTTTAAAGGATAATTGATATAATGGCATATTGGTGTGGATGCTCAGTTGTTGCTTCTAATTATAAGTACTCATATTTCAGGTTATGTTTTTTGAATGTGTTGATTTGACATAAAAACGATTTGTTTTCATAAGGCTGAAATTCCAGACTGGTTAATTTTAAGAAACAGCAGACTTGGGAGCTCTGAAAACCTAGTAGAAATTACCCTTTGTAAAAGGACATTTAAATTGTAGATGCCAATGATGACCTCTTAGCTAACGAGAAATGAGAAAGTAATTTCCAGGATAGGTCACACACGAAGCATAGAAAAATAAATGAGTGTTAAGGAAGTACAGTGAACTGGAGAAGGTAGGATTAAATCCGCATAACAATCTTACCTTTGTTTGCTCTTCTTTTCCTGGTAACCTCCCATAACTCACTCTCCACCCCCATCTTCTTCTGTCTTTAGCAAAAAGCGGTATGTAAGGTGATGGCTTCCCCGGTTTGGGGGAGTTACTCAGTGTTCCTGGGTCTCTCCCATGTGTACAGGAGGTACATATGTTATTAAACTTTAATTTGTCTTTCTCCTGCTAATCTGTCGCATGTTAATTTGATTATTAGTTCAACCAGAAGAACCTTGAAGAGTAGAGGATAATTTGTCATTCCTGATAGTATTTAACGTATCATAAACATGTATTAATCCTCACAATAAGTTCATTAGGCAGGAACTATAATCTTCATTTTGCAAATTAGAAATCTTGAGTCTTAGGGAGGTTAAGTAACAGCTAAGGACATACTGCTAGTTAGTGGTAGAGCCAGGCTTTTGTGGGAGAGGAAGAATCTTTCATCTACCTTCAAGGTTCTTTTGGATGGTCTAATAATCAAACATGAGACAGATTAGCAAGAGAAAATAACCAAATTTAATACATACATATGTATGGGAATCCCGCATACAGGAGAGAGTCAGAGACCCCACATGCACAACAGGTTTAGAGACTGGAAGGGAAATGGACCTATACATGACATTCTGAGCTAGGGATGAGGTCATGCACTTTGGGGCTTCATTGCAAGGAGAGCATGTACTCAGTAATTGTGACTTTGCCTTACCATATGAGTAGGTCAAAATTGTTTCTGGTTTTAACTCTTATCATGGGCCAGGCTCCTAATTTAAAGTCTAGATAGTTAAGGGGTGAGTGGGTAGAGCAGAAGCTTCTCTTGAGTCTGCAGGGTCTCGGTTACCTTTAGCTCAAAATAATCTGCATACCACTAAGGCACATCCTGAGGTGGCTCGGTCTGAACCCTTACACTTTGAACACAAATCTGTTAGACCCAAGAACCACCATTCAACCTACCGTATCATACTATTTGTATCTTACACATCTATAACAATTCCCTTCCATTGAAATTGAGCTAAAAAAAATTCTTCCTTCATAAAATCCTATTAATGTAAACTCACTGAACATTCCACATTATCACAATAACCAACTCATTTCTACATAGATGTTAATATGTATCTGTATCACGTGTGCACTTTATTTCAATAGGAGACTTCTCCTTCCATGTTTACCTTCCACCACTCTCCAAGCATTCTTTTTCATGCTTCTGTTTTCCCTGAAACAACTGCTTGGAGTGAACGCCTACCACACCTCCCCCTTCCTTACCTGGACAACTCTTCTGTGATGCATCCCTGACTCCTCCAGCCAGCATTAGCCCTACATTCTGTCTGCTACCCAAGCACTTCTTATTCTACTCCAGCACTAACTCATTCTGTGTATATTTTTTGAGAATCTACTAGGCACAGGCTGGGTGGTACAGGTGCACAAGTAAGATACGCACAAATAAGATAAGCACAGCCGGCCGGCAGAGTGACACATTGGTTAAGACTTGGCTTGGGGACCGGCCGAGTGGCCCATTGGTTAAGAGTTAGCTTGGGACGCCAGCTCTGAGCAGCAGGGCCCTGGTTCGGATCCCACATGAGGGCCAGTGATGCTGCGCCCTCTACAGCTAAGATGGTGAACAACAGCTCGACCTGGAGCTGGGCTGCCATGAGTCGCCGGCGACAGCGTAGGCTGCAGCCCCTGCTGCAGTGGGCTGCCATGGGCTACCGTGAGCGGCTGTCCAATGGCTGGCAAGCGACTGCTTTACCCGGGAAGAGCACAGTGATAACACCAACATGGGCCAGTGAAGCGACGTCTTCCACAACTAGACTGAAGAACAAAAAGGACAGCAACTTGTCTGTTCCCCTTCCCCGATTCCCCAGTGCTGTTCCCCTCCCCCAATTCCCCAATAAAATCTTTAAAAAAAAAAAGAAAAAGATAAGCACAGCCCCTTACAGAGTTATCATTTTTCTGCTTTCTTCTCCAACTCAACGGTCAGCTTCTCAATAGGGAAGATTATCTTATCTTTGTACACCTGGTGCTAACAAAGGCCAGATATATAGGAGGTGTTCCGTAAAGTATTATCCCATTTTTTAATATGTTATGGCTGTCAGGCTATACAGAATAGTAATTAGGATATGTCTGTTTATATTTATGTATCTATTTCCAAAGTTGAGTCTTATCCTAAAAATATTCCTCCTTTGACTCTGCTAGCCTTATAAGCTATTCCTGTGATAAAGCTGCAATGCACAGGCAGGACCCCCTTTGAGAATGAAGGACTGATCACTGCAGCCATCTGGGGTAGGAAGGCTGCTGGCAGATGGCCCTCAGCTGTCATGTCATGCCCCTTTCTCAGGCAGTCCATGGTGAATGACTGATCTACGTGGGAGTGGGAAGATTCATCCCTCGCTCCAACCAGGGGGCAGCCTGAAGGTTGGCCAAGCCTTTGTCCTGCATCACAGTTTAACTCCTGCACAAACTTGCTTCCTTCCCTTCCCTTAGTGTTGATCCTAAGATCACTTCCTGATGAACCTACAGTTTCCATCTTAGAGTCCACTTCCCTTTTTACTTCTTTCCATAACCCGAAGTCAGTGTTTCTGAAGAAGTGTTCTGCACTCACTCTGCTTCCTTATTTTTCTACCCTTTGTGATCCACCCTGGAAATCTCCTTAGCTAAATGAGATCATCATTGACTATCTACAGTGAGAACCCACTTCCTCTTCACCTTTCTCCATATTCGAAATATTGTACCACTCCTCTGTCAACCGTCTTTCTTTGCGTCCATCACGCTGTGCTCTCTGGGCAGTTCTCCCATTTGAATTGCTCTCTCTACTTACTTCAATTGCTACTTTTCTTCCTCCTACTCCTTAAGTGTACAAATTCCTTAGGTTCAATCCTTAGTTCTCTTCTAATTATACACAATCTCCCTGCAATTTCAATGTAATAACACTGGGGACCCACTCAGCATTAGAGACATTCATGGGACAGGCTGGAGTAACAGAAAGAACAACCTCTTAAGGGTAAAACAGAGCTGGATTCCAGGTCTAGCCAGCTGGGAAACCATGGGTAACTTGTTAAATCTTTGTGTTTCATTTTTTTATCTGAAGTGGGTATGATACCAACCTCATAAGGATGCTCCCTATGTTTGTTTGTTCCCCAAATGCACCAGTGTTCTCTCTTGCCTCCCTGAATTTTCACATGTTGTGCCTATGCTGGAACATTCTTTCTCTGCCCAGCCTTCACCTAGCTAACTCCTACACATCACTGATGTCTCACTTTAGATATTCCTTCCTCCAAAAAGCTTTCTGTGATTTCAATGTCTGAGTGAGGTATGTATCCTATGTCATCCTATGACACACTATATTGTAGTCTTGCTTTTGCCATAACACTATCCCACTGAATTACTTTTGGTGTTTGTTTGTATCCCTCCTTGAGGGCCAGGACTTTGTCCTGTTCACCCCTGTATCTTCAGGAAGGGCTGAGGCAGGCAACATCCCTTCACAGCCATTGCACCTTCTTGATGATGATTCCCAGAGTCCACTCTCTGGAGCCTCTTTCCCTGAGCTGTAACTGCCTCTCGGACTTGCTCCCTGGATGTCCAGCTAGAAAGTCAACATGACCACATCCCAAACTATCCCCCTCTCTACTCAAACCAGCTTGTTTTTACAATTCCCCTGTGTTCCCAGTTTCTGGAACTTAAAAACTGAAAGTCATCATGGATTCCTCATCCTCCCTCATATCAAATAATGCCAATTACTATAGCTTACCTGCACAAGGTCAGTTGTCCCCTTCTTTCTATTTCAACTGCCATCTTCCTGCTTAGGCCTCAAAGTCCCTCTGATCAATCTGGTCATTTCTCTAGAAACTTCCAATGGCTCCCGATTGCCTGTAAAGGAGAAGAGGAAGGGCACTCACATTAACCAAGTGCTTACTTCCTGCCACATGGAGGATGTTTCACATACATAATCACATTTAAATAGAGTAGACTCTTCATCTGACATTCAAAGTTCCCCACACCATGGTTCTAGCCTTCTCCCACCTCTCCACCATGGAAACCCTTCATTCTGGTTGAATTTCGTACCTTCTCTTTCCTGAACACAGCCTGCGCTCGCCTGACCCTGTGCCTTGGCTCCTGCTGTTACCTCCACCCACACTTCTAGTACTGAAATCCTGTCCATTTTTAAAGACCTAACTCAAATGCCACCTGCTCCTGAAAGCCTTTCCTGATTCTCCCAGGATGTGACCTCTCTGCTCCTGAACCTTCATGCTTCCTTTTGGCTCATATTTTTCCTTTCATTAGTTATTTTATTCTCTCATTTCTGCCACTAGATTGTGGGCTTCATTAGGATAGCTATACATTACTTTTATATCATTCACTGCACCTAGCAATATACATAGCACATCATTAGCACTCAGTAAACATTTCTGATCATTGAACTATAGCTTGGATTTGACTTTACATAGATGTGACCTGTAACAGTGCTTTTCAAACTGGATCTCAACGCATTATTGGATTATGAAATCAACTTAGTGGGTCACAATCAGAATTTTAAAAAAATGGAATAGGAAATATCAGAGAATGTTGCAAGTACTAAAGTAGGTATTATTTTGTGAAACTTTAATAATGTGTGTGTGTGTGTGTGTGTGTGTGTGTGTGTGTGTGTGTGCGCGCGCATGCGCACGCACGCGTGTGTTCTGGGTTGATGTATTAATAAATTTTTTATGGTAGCAGTCAAAAAAGGTGGAAAAACACCACTGTAATACATATCCATTATTTCAGTCAGCTAATTACAAGCCCCTTGATGAGAGAAAGCAGATTTGGCAAACTCTAACCTTAAAAGCAGTGAGCACCAGCCCTCTACTGAGCCCCTCATTCCAAAACGCTGTCCTGGGAATTAAAAGAGACTCAAGGCAAACAGCAAGGTCCTATCTTTAAATGAGCTTCTCTTCTATTAAGAGAGAAAAAACCGTAAATAAATTCATGAAGAAACTCTATAAGCACTTAAGCAGCTGGAGAGCCACAGAAAAGGCCATGGATTTAGAATCAGAAGATTTACATTAGAGTTTTCGCTTTGTTATTAGCTGTGTGATGTTGGATAAATTACTTGATTTCTCTGAGCTTGTTTAACCAACTAAAAGAATAACATATATCCTACCTCACATAATTGTGTTAAGTGATACATATATGCAAGATTATTTCATAAATTATAAAAATGTTGCAAGTTTTAGGTAAAAACCTGCATGTGTCACTCTGTCAACAAGTGAAAATTGAAGTAGTACAAATTATACAGCTAACTGTGCCTTAGGCATGGTTTTTGTTTTGTTTTTTGATTGTCAGTGCTAGAAACCCAACTCAGACTGATTGTGCTCAAAGGGAATTCACTCACTCACATACTAGGGAACCCAATGGTACAGGAAGCTTTGGGCAGGGCTGGATCTGGGGACTCAGATAATATCACTGGGCCGCTGTCCACCCATCTTTCTTTCTGACCGTCTCTCACTCTGGGCTGTTTCAGTCCCAGTGCGGTTTTATCCTCAGACAGGTTCTCCCTGCACAGTGGAATGGTGGCCACCATTTGCTCTGGGCTGACACGATCCTTGCAGCTGGCAGCAGGTAGAGATTCTCTTTCCCTATAGTTCTAGCAAAAGTCTCAAGAAGGGCTCTGTTTGATAACCAGCTTGGGTTACGAGCTAAGTCCCAAACCAAAAACAGTGGCCATGGATGCTTAGGACACAAGCTGACCCTAGGAGCTAAGGGATTTGATCAGCCCTACCTGAGTCAACTGGACTGAAAAACAGGTTGGTGGGGAAACTTCTCAAGGGATTGGGTCATAGAATTCAGAATAACCAAGTTTCTAAAGCTGAACAGGATTAGTTTAGAACTAATCTTCTATTTAACTTCATCATACAACATTAGAGTAAGGACACACAAACATATATGTTTGTTCCATCTCATTTCATTCATTTAATAAATATAGTATTGAGGATCTTCTAAGTGCCAGGTACTGTTCTAGGTATTGGGATATAGCAGTGATCAAAGCCATACAAAGTTCCTGCTCTCCTACATTCTGTGGGGGAAAGAAATAATAAACAAGTCAATAAGTATGTCAGGAAGTGATCAATTCTATTAAAAATATAAATTTAAAAAGCAAAGTAAGGAGTAGCAAGAGCCAGGGATGAGAGATAAAGACTATTTCAGAAAGGATGGTTAGGAAAGACCTCTCTTGGTGACTCTGAAGCATAAATCTGACTGAAGTCACATGAATAGTATCTGGGAAGAACTTACAGGCAGAGGGGAAAGACTCTGAGACAGGGCCAGTACATATATTTGCATGTGTATATGAACATATTAATTCTTTATTTTCCTACATTAAAACATATGACAATGATATTATGACAGTGATATTAAATTGCAAAATCCTTGAAGTCTTTCTAATATTGATTCAGCTAGGTAAGACATTTCTGAATCTTGCTGAATGTGCATATGTGCCTAGAATGTGTAAATGATGCTGGCTGAATCATGAGCCACGTACCAACCACAGTGAATATCAAGACTTATGGTAGAGATCCTGGGTGACCCTGCCAAAGCTGGGTGGGGAAAATCTCTCTCCAGCAGTTTCCTTACCTCTGTCCTTTTGCTCTAATTGCTGTGGACGTGCCAGGCAGCACAAAGTGGCTCCTGAGGGTGGTTCCTGCTGATGCTGGGTAAAGGTCCCCTTGTGCAGAGCCAAAGACTAACATAAATTAAAAATTCCTCTGATCTCAAGCCTTAACAAGGGTTACATTGCCTGGTAGAGGAAAGCTTGGGGTGTGGCATGTGTGTGGAGGGTGGAAGGGAGTGGGAGAAATCAGAAGGCAGGAGACCCGCCCTCCCTAATTGATCTATGCCGGTTTCCCTGAACTTGGGACCCCTATAACCAATCCCTGTCAGGCACTACTCTGCACCCAGCGATGTCCTTATCTTTGAATTGCACTGACTTCTGATGTGTTTGATGTTAATTCTTTTTTTTTTTTT